AGCTGGTTGCCGAGACTTACTCTCACTGCCATCAGGAGTGCGCACAGGGAGCTGGTCACAGTGTGGGGGTGTGTGAGGGTGAGGTGTTTGGAGCACAGTGGGGGGGCGGTGACAGTGGGCCAGTTGGGGGATCTGTGGGCAAGTCCCTAGTGGCTCATGGGCAGGTTTTTTGATGGGAGTGTTGGGGTCCCTTTCTTGCCCGAGAGTTCCATCTGGGGTTCTCCTAGCTCTTCCTGCCCCCGGAACTCATGACCCATACTCTGGAAGGGGCTAGAGGGACGCAGGTCACTTTGGCAGCATCTCACACAGCCCGGGCTCACTCACACATTCTCATTTTCCCCTGCGGGGGGAAACTGGGGGCTGGGAAGCTCTCTCTTGAGGCTAAGCTGCAGGGCTTTGGGGGAGGGATGACATAGGTAAAGTCACACTGTTCCTCTTACCCTCTCCACTGCATCCAAATTCGTTATTTTTGTTTTGTTTTGTTCTAATGATGTGCTGGAATTTGTCTGATGGATACCTGGACTCCCACAAAAACTCTTTCCTTTGGTGGGATTATCTAAAATGGGTTTTCCAGGGGCTCCCAGACCATGGCCAAGCAGGGGTGGAGCCACTTAACACGCCACAGCAAACTTCACAGCTGGGACCAAAGTCTGTGCGCCTATTACTGGACACCTGGGGAGGCAGGAGTCTGCCTGGGTCCCTTGGTGGGTGGGACTGGGTCCCACAGTTCCCACAAAGACACTCTGTCCATGGATGAATGCAAAATTGTTGTTGAGTGGGGGGACACGGCAAGGGCTATCTCATTCAGCCACGATGCTGACATCCCCACGGTGTTTAAGGGCTTTGTATTGGGCAAAGCACCACCTTCAAGGGGCCTGGACAGTTTAGAGTGAAAAAAGGTCTCTGGGCCCCCAATTTGCAAGGGACAGTAGGAGTTTAAGAATTGCTCAAAGGGCATATTTTTCAAAGGGAGCAAGAGGTGCTGGAAAAGGAGGGCTCTCTGGGAGGGCAGAGGTAAGAGTCATGCTGGGGTGCAGCCAGGGGAATTCTCCCGGCAGGCAGACCTCAGCCTCAGGGGGAGCAACCCCCTTTCCCTGGTTCCGTGAACATTCTCCCTGTGCATTTAGGAATTGCACCAGCGAGTGCTCTGGGCACCGACTCTTTCCTGTTCTTTTCTTCTAAAGATCTATTTAGGGGCGCCTGGGTGGCTCAGTGGGTTAAGCCTCTGCCTTTGGCTTGGGTCATGATCCCAGGGTCCAGGGATCAAGCCCCACATTGGGCTCTCTGCTCAGTGGGGAGCCTGCTTCCCCCTCTCTCTCTCTGCCTGCCTCTCTGCCTACTTGTGATCTCTATCAAATAAATAAATCAAATCTTAAAAAAAAATCTATTTTTTTTTTTTTTGAGAGAGGGAGAGCACGTGAGCAAAGTTGGGAGGGGCGGAAGGAGAGGGAGGGAAAATCCCAAGCAGACTCCATGCTGAGTGTGGAGTCCGATGTGGGGTTCGATCCCACCACCCCGAGACCACAACCTGAGCCGAAACCAAGAGCTGGACTCCTAACTGACTGTGCCACCCAGGTGCCCCCATTCTTTCCCTTTTCCATGGAAATATTCACTGTGGTGGTCCTTTCCCCTTTGACCACTGTTTGTTTGGGGGGGGGCAGCTCATTGATATCTTGTTCGTCCATCTGTGGCTCAAGAGGGCCGCCTCCGAGGAGCCACATTCAACCCAGTATAGATCATGAGACCCTGCGCCTTGAGCCTGGTACTGGGATTGGGCGAGACTTCTGGGGATCTTGGGAGGAGGTGAGGTTTTTTTTTTTTTTTTTTTTCCTTTGTGGAGAGATGTGAATATTGGGGCCAAAGGGTGGACTATAATGGATTTGACCACAAAAATGGCCTCAATTCTCCGCCCCTCCCTTTACTCACGCCCTTTGTAATGTGACTTTGATGCTCCTATCATCAAGGTGAGGGGTTTATCTCCTCCCCCTACTTTGGATCTTGTTGCCCTTGTGTCCTGCTTTGGCCAACGGGTTGTGTCGGACAGCACACTGGTTCTTTTTTTTTTTTTTTTTAAGATTTTATTTATTTATTTGATAGAGATCACAAGTAGGCAGAGAGAGGGAAGCAGGCTCCCTGCTGAGCAGAGAGCCTGATGTGGGGCTTGATCCCAGGACCCTGGGATCATGACCTGAGCCGAAGGCAGAGGCTTAACCCACTGAGCCACCCAGGTGCCCAGCACACTGGTTCTTGACTGTGCTTACCACATAGCTAAGCCCCAGTATCCTCCTGTGGCATCACAGGGTGTAGGGACAAGTTGTCCCAGGCCATCCTGGACCAGCTAGTTCTCTTCCAAGCAGGTGGCAGGCCACAGACAACATGAGCAAAGACCAGCCAACTAAGACCAGCCCAAATGGCCAAATCACAGAATTGTTAGCTAAGTAAATGATTACTGTTTCAAGTTACACAACTGGTTGTCATACAATACTTGTTATGTATTTATTAGTATTATTATGACAACAGAAAACAGATACAGTTACTAATAACAGTTGCTGAAACAGTTACTAATTACAGCTACTATTGACACAGCTGACTCCTTTGAGAAAATTACCAGAAGAAATGGTACAAAACCCAAATGGCTCTCCATTTTTATCCAAGCTGTAAACAACGACTATGCCCTCATCATTTTGTAAATTTCAGAGCAGTAAAAGCTCGGTTATAACCTAAGTAGATACATTAACAAATTACAAAAAAAAAAAAAAAAACAACAAAACCCAGCCAAATTATACAGAAATGAAATTTGAGTTGTGGGCTTGGGGTAATAAGCTAAGAATATTAGACAGTAAAAGATCAACACATCATATTAATGCTGAAATATAGAAGGATAATGATGGGGAATGAGTCCCCAGACCACACGTTCATGGGCCTGTGTTAACATCTGATAGCACGCACAAAGTAAAAAGTAGCACCAGGGGAGACATGTGAAAATAAAAATAAGCTTAAAACCATTTCAATTCAGACTGGATTAAAATGAAAAAGTTTGGGTTATCCCGCAATTTACTGAGAAAAAGATCTTTAAGCAAATAAATCTTGTTGGCACAAGTACTGTAAGAATTCAGAGCGTGAGGCACGTGATTCATCACCGCAAAAAGATGAGAATGACCAGGCTGTGCTTAGTCTAATCCTCGAGCATGATTCTGTAAGTTTTCATTTACAAATGTTCTGCATCTTGTGATATAATGGACGAGTTTCCTTAAATCTTTGCTATTCAGTCTCCACGGTTTTTTTAAAAGAAATTGTCCTTACTTCCCAAGGTTGTAACTTGAAACATGAAGGCAAACTTCAAGGTCAGTTCAAATAGGTATATTATAGTTAACTTTATCTATTCGAGTGTGTGTCATGGAACATTTTAGAAGATGTAAATGGCAACTGCAAAGGAAGCTGAATTTGTTCATGAGCCTCATGATGACTAGCCCCTGTCTGGGATCTCTGTGGTCTTAGTATCACTATCCTGCCCAGCACAGACACTGTGAACTCACTTGCATGCCTGAAAAACATCCCAAACCATGCGTATGGACTTCCACTGTCCCGGCTAGATCTAACAGAAATGTTTGCAGATTCATTCTCAGAAACTCTGGGAAGTCTCCTGCCTCCCCTGAAGTTACTGCCCAGCAGCAACCCCTCTGTGGGTACTCCCTTGCTTTTGCCTCCTCTACCTCTTTGCTCCAAACTCTGTGCCCTTTGTCCTCCCAGCTTCCATCTCCATGAAAATCCCTTTAGCGGCACTGCCTTTAAGGAAGTCTGGTTTTCTCCCATGCATTCTGCTCTGCCAGCAGCAGGTGCTCTCGATTTCAGGTAATAAATTCATCCTTGATTCATGCAGGAGGTGGGGTCAAGGTCAGGGTCAGCATTCTCCCCGTTTCCTACGCCTCCTGCCCAGCGTCATTCCTTCAGTTTTCCGTGACAGTAGCTGCTCATTTAAGAGAGTTACTTGTCCCATTCATGTGCTTAGCAAATCGTGATTGGGCACGGATTTTCCCCAGGTATTGTGCTGCAAGCTGGGATGACCACAGCCTTCCAGATTAGGCATTTGTAGTCTGGAGCGACATTAAACCAATCAACATGGAATACAAATAATGGAAAGGCAGGGAAGGCTTCCCTGACTGATGAGGCCACTGAAATGAAACTGAGTGACCATCATTAACTAGTTACAGCGAATAGATGGGGTGCTGGGGAGAACATTTCAGGCAGAAAGAATGGCATGTGCTAAGGCCCTGGGGTGAGTGCACCATGCCAGTGCGTGGGAGGGGTCACGGCGTGAAGAAAGGGCCTGCGGGAGGAGGCTGCGGAGCGGACGGGAGCCAGACATAGTCAACTGCTAGAGCATGATTAGGACTGCGGTCTTTGCCGTGGAGCAACGAGAAGCCCCGTCGGTTTTACGCAGGGGCGCGCGACGATCAGACTCGCGTCGGGCGAGGAGCCGCTGGCTTCAGCGTGGCAGCGATCCGCGGGGACAAGGGCGGCGGCGGGCCCGCCGTGGTTCGGACGGCGACGGAGGGAAGGGGATCTGAGTGACTGGGTGCACAGGATGGGGTGCGAGACCATCCCCGAGGGTGGGGGAGGGGAGGCCGCGGAGGGTCCCTCCCCGCGCCCGAGCTCCGAGCACCCCGGGGCTGCCGTGGGCTCACCCCGCCCGCCTCCTGCGGGAACGTGTACTAGGAGCCCAGCCGGTACCCGCAGGAGCACGTCGCCCGGCTGCGGCGGAGAAAGATCCAGAAGCGGGCCCCCCAACGCTCCGCCTGCGTTCCCTCGAGGGCGTCCGCGCTCCCCGCACGCGCGACGACCCACCGAGCAGACGCCACCGAGAGGGAGAGGGCGGAGAGCACCTTCTGCGCACGCCCGGGCTCCGCCACCGCGGGGGCGGGCCGAGGGACGTCATTGTGCCGCGCCGGCGCGTGACGTACTGTGCGGCGCCGGCAGGAAGCGGGGCTCCGGGGCGCACGTGGGGGGCGGTGCGGCGGGCAGGCGCATGGCGAGCTGCGCGGGGCTGGCGCTGTGCGGGCAGGCGCTGGTGGTGCGGGGCGGCAGCCGGTTCCTGGCCACCTCCACCGCGAGCAGGTGAGGGGGCGGGGCCTGCCGCGGGGGGCTGCGGGCGCTCGGCGCGGCCTGCACAGTCCGATCCCTCGCGCCGCCGGGGCGCCCCTCGCCGGCGCCGTCTGTCGATACCCGCGGTCTCGGCCGGGGCGGCGCCGGCGCTGGGGGACGGGTCACGGGGGCGGCGCGGGCCGGGGGCGGGCCCTCCGCGGCCTCCCCTCGGGGCGGGCGGCGGACCTTGCTGGCGGGCGCGGGGGAAGACGGCTTGAGTCCGGGCGCCGGCCGCCTCTCCCGCTCTCGGGGCGTGGGCCCGCCCCCCTCGCCAGCCGGCCGCGCCCGCTCCTCGGGGCTCCGGGGATTCCCCTCCCGGTGCGGCCGCTCCCGGCTCAGGCTCCTCCCCCGCCCGGCCCGGGGTTCCGTAGGTGCGGATCCCGGAGTCCTGTCCTGGGCAGCGTCGGCGCCTCCGCCTTCCCCCGGTTTGGCTCGTGCTTGCAGGGGTCGTGCGTCCCACGTAGACGCGGCCTCTCGGCTCGAAGCCGGAAACCCCGCTCTCTTAGTTTTCCCCAAAAACTCACTCACAAACTTGCGGTGTGTTCCAGGGATGTGCAGAGGCTCGCGGTACCTCGTGCTCCTGGGACACGCGGTATCACACTTGTTAGGACGCTTGATACGTAACAAGTGCACTAAATCCCTCGTTTTTTTTTAAGATTTGTTTTTATTTGTTAGGGCGCGCGCGCACAAACCGAAGGGGGGGGAGGTAGGAGGGGACTCCGTGCTTATCGGAGAACCGCACCGGGGGCTCCATCCCAGGCCCCCGGAACATGACCTGAGCCCAAGGCAGACGCTTCACGGAGAAAGCGTTTTTTGTTGTTCTTTTTTTTTTTTTTTAGATTTTTATTTATTTATTTGATACAGAGAGAGATCACAAGCAGGCAGAGAGGCAGGCAGAGAGAGAGGGGAGGAAGCAGGCTCCCTGCTGAGCAGATGGGGGGCTTGATCCCAGGACCCTGAGAGCATGACCTGAGCTGAAGGCAGAGGCTTAACCCGCTGAGCCACCCAGGTGCCCCTGCTGTTCTTTTTTTAAAATACGATTTCTCCTCTGTGCCTCTTGTGGAAGTATAGTGATGGTGGTGGACTTTGTGACTCAGAGAACTACTTTTTCCAGCACCGCAGTGTTCCATGGGCAGAGTCCCAGCGCATTACTGCAGAGGCCATGCAGTAGGGAGGAGATGGGAATAAACTCGCCAGCACTTAGGGTCTCACTCCTGTGCTGGCAGGTGCTTGACAGCCACGAGCTTTCTTGGGTAGTTGAGACATTTTTAAGCGGTGGCTGCGTTAAATTTGGATGCAGGAATCTTACCAAAAAATATGAACCATCTTACTTTGATTTTCTGGGGTGTGAAAGAATAATGTATTACTTCCTGTTGAGTTTTTGTTCTCATTTGCTTTGCTTAACTGATTTTTTGGGTACGGAACCATGACAGTTGTGTATGGCCCACCTGTAAAGATGAAGCAGGTAAAGCTCTGTAGCGTTTCTCTGCAGTACTGTACCTGGACAATTTCTTGCTGTGGGTAAGACCCTTACTTTATCGGGTATGAGAATATTGGTGCTCCAGAGGAAAAAATCTCACATTTTTACTCATAAAGTGTTCTGTTTAAAATCTTTCTGTTTTCTCTTAGTGACGATGACGTCCCCTTCACATACGATTGCAGTACTGTGGAAAAGAAGTCACAGGAGAATAAAGGGTGAGATGATGGGGCAGACTCTTAAGGCCTGATCGTGCTCGGACTAAATGGGACGGGGTAGCCTGAGAGGTAAATTGTCGCACTGAGTAAGTTGCCTTGGCACCGAATTCTTCATTTCTGTGTACACTGCCCTGTGGATGAACCAAGTAGGACCACAGGAAGGAAATGTGGAGCTAAGTTTAAATTTGGCCTTAAGAATAGTAGGTTTTTTCTCAAGACCTCCAGTTTCTGTCCGTAATTAACTCCTGTGGACATCTTGAAATAATGCAGTGGAACTTGCTGTGTGTTGAAGTTAGCTGTAGTTAATTGAAAGATAAGGGAAGCAGAGTGTGATCATTTTGTATGGTGCCTTTTTCTAGTAGAATGGTCTTAAAGGCTCATTTTTTTTTAATGTGACTTAATTCTTGACTCTGGTCTTTGATTCGTTCTTGGCCGTGAGGGCGTGGGCCGTGTGATCTCTGACAATCTTTCTGGCTCAGCTCTTTGGATTCCGGTGTGTGTATGCTGAGAGATTCTTCTGTTTAACCAGATTTATTCCTTAAAAATTACGGCTATTCTGAGCCTCCCCTCCTCTGCTTAATACGCGTTTGTATTCTGGCTCCCTGAACCTCATGCCGTTTTCTGTCTCTGCTCATGTCATAAACGCACAAGGCCAGCCTGAAGGAGTGCGGCCTTGTTTACTCAGGTAGGCCCTAATGGTCCTTGTCCTCTTTTCCTCAGGGAGGACGGGCAGCCCGTGGAGAAGGGGAGTGACACGATCCTGGCGTCCGCCTTCTCCAAGTCTGGTGGTTATTTTGCTTTAACTGATGACAGTAAGCGTCTGATTCTTTTCCGTACAAAACCATGGCAGTGTCTGAGTGTCAGGTATGAAATGCTCACGTTGGATCATTACCATGTTGAACGCACAGCTTACACTTGCATGCCCACAGCAGTAGTGACCGTGACGTTGTCTCGGCCGTGTGCCAGGCGCTGTTGTCGACGCCTTACGTGTGTTGACCGACTGAGTCCTTGAAACAGCCATCTGCGGGGGCGGGGGCGCTCTCACCCACACTCCTGGCGGGAGTCGGGGCGCTGATCCCGGTCCGTCGGCTCAGAGGGCAGACCGGGCCCTGCCCCTGGTCCCTCCGGGTCCAGTCAGTGTCCCTGGCCACCGTGGCATCCTGCTTTCCAGGGTCCTCCAGCCTTGCGCTGGCAGAAATGAAGAAAGTCAGCAGCCCTAGAGCAGGTGGGGGCTGCTGGGGCAGGTCCCGGGCAGGCGTGCACTTCTCTTGCTCCGACAGTGTCCCGAGAGTAAGTTCTTTATTTCCTCTCGTCGTGAGGGCTGGCGTTACGGGACACATACCCACGTGGAGCAGAGCCAGTCCGCATCCCTGCCTCCCGCAGGCCGCTCGCTTAGCTGTCTCTGGAGACTAAGAGGTAAACATGCGCAGGTCGTAGTGTTTGAACTGCCTAACAGCCAAGGTTAAAGGGTTCCGCTTTGTAGCTGGCTCACAGCTGTACTGCGGAGAACTTCCTCGTCTTACTCTCTAGGAGGAGAGTACAAGGGGCAGGTGCAGGTGTCGGTCTGTGTGGTGTGTGCACGCGGCTTAGGGGTAGCGTTTCATCCTGCACTTGGGGCCAGCGGCCGCCCGCACAGCCCGCCGACTCACCCCTGCCTCCTGTCGTGGGGCTTGCACCTTGACCGAAGGGTGGGTGCCCGGGGCTCCTGGCAGGGCTCTGGCCCTTCACCGAGCACTCCTGGCATGGTGCAGGGTCTGCAGGGGAGGAAGCCTTCTCTTGACCGGCAGCGGGTCTCTGTGCCTGTCAGGCTGTTGGGGAACGCAGGGCAGGGTCTGTGGTGTGTGAGGCCCAGGATGGGTGTCCAGGCACAGAGTCCTGTGTGTATCTGTCCAGTTCCCTCCGCACTGTGGCCCATGGGTGTTTGAGGGGAAGATGCTGTGTTTTTGTTTTGTCTTTGGAAGGTAGCGTGTTGGCGACTTCGCTTGGAGATCTAGGAACGCTCAGGGTGGGCAAGCAGCGGTTGGCACCTGGTTTCTTCCCCCGTAATTGGTTTTTACGTTGACATCAGCAGACCAGCTTTGTGTTGGAGACCTCTGCGTTGGGTGTACAGGGCCTCTCGTGTTGCCTGTGGGGGTCTATGGTGCGTGCAGACACTGCTCACGGGACCCCGGCAGCTCCCATCCCGTCTGCGTCAGCCGCTGGACGGAGGGGTCGGGCCAGATTCGTGGGTCTAGGGGCTGCATTTCTCAGGTTGCTTTGTCCTGTGGGCGTACACTGAGCTCAGTGTAAGGTGTGTGCTGCCTGGTCTGGTGGCCGTTAACGCTGGTCAGGGGCACACCCAGACGGACCCCTTGCTCAGATAAACAGCCACCCTCCACGCAGCTGACCCTCAGTTCAGCGGTGCAGGTGTCCCGGGCCCCCGAGATCCACGTGGGACCGGGAATTGCTCACAGCTCGCTGTCTGGAGGCTTTAATATTAATCACGCAGGGTTCTAAGGAAAAGCCCAGATGGAAACGGTGGGTAGCAGCGCTTGGTTTAAGGTTTCTGTTGGCAATGACAAAGGCCCAGAACCGAGGCCAGGTCTTCTGAGTTAAAGATAGGGTACTTGGGGTGACATGATATTTTCTGCTGTGATGTGTGTGTTTGTTAGTGAAAAATGTCACGTACGAAATCACAGCATTTCAGAAAATTGCCTGTACTGAAATGCTGCATGTGCGGAAGGGCAGAGCCCCAGGAAATGAGATGGTTCTCCCGAAGCTGCTTGGCTGCTGGAGGTGTGTGGCGTTGGGGAGCTGGGTGTCGTCAGTGCCCGGCAGGGCCTGGCGGGCCACCACTCAGTCCGTGGAACAAGTGTGGCTCTCCGGAGGGGGGCTTGAGTGGGCACTAAGTGTGGGGGATTTCAGGGCTCAGTTAGCTACCCGACTAGCGGCGATCCGCTCGGAGGTGGCGGAGGGGAGAGGGTCAGGCTGGCCCCGGGGGTTGTGAGGATGGGAACGCTGGGCTGTGAACCCCGTGACTCTGGAGGGAAGGGGGAGTGCAAAGATCCTGACAAGTGATGAGGCCCATGTCTTCTGATGGTGCAAAGTGGCCAGACCACCTGCTGTCCGATCTCATGACGTGCTTGCCCACGCCTGTGACCCGACCCCTCAGGTCCTCACCCCCACCTGCTCCGTGCAGCGCCCTGGAATCCCCCCAGGACTGACTTGGCCTGAGAAGATGAACGTCTCCCTACCCGCCCCCCACCACTGGCAGAGGACAAAGGGCCAAGATTCTGGAGGGTGCTGGGGCGAGTGCATGCCGCATCCTGCTGTGGGCCTGGCCCAGGCCGTCCTTCCGGATTGGTGGCTGTGTGGCCGCGTGAGTGCCTCCGAATGCACAGTGGTGTTCAGTGACGCGTGCACGGAGAGGTGGTGAGTCTTGCCGGAGCCCGTGCTCGCTCTTGTGTTGTTTCTCCGTGTTAAGTTGCTCCTTGTCCTTCGGTCCGCTGTCCCTCGGCTCAGGGAAGTGCGGGAGCAGGTTCCACCGCTGGGGGTGGCGGAGCTCGGGGACATGGCTGCGGGCCCCCTGCCCTGGGTTTCCCGTCCTCCATCCTTCTGCTCCCGAGAACGTGGGCGGTCTTCGGTCCTCGTGCTGGACACGTGGCTTCTAGCTTTGGTTTCCATTTCAAGGGACGTGTGGGGCTCCAGCAGCGGGGAGCCGGGGGGCCCCGTGTGCACGGACACTGGGCCCCGTTGGGAGGTGAGTCCCCGTCCACACTCTCTGGGGACAGAGGAGGGCAGCGACCCCGCTTTCTGGAGGAGAGCTGCAGACGTAGGCGGTGTAGACAGGCTGGTGTTGATGCGTGAGGCAGGGTCACGCGTGGCACCTGCTGTGGGGTGGGAAGTTCAGGCCTGTTGCCCTGTGGAGGCGCCAGTGGAGAAGCGGTGGACTGTGTCAACGCCGCGGGCAGGGAGCCGCGTGGCCCTGCGCCCCGCCAGGAGTGAGACCCGGCGGGGTCGCTGTGTGTGTGTGTCAGGGGCCGTAACTTTGTTTCCTAGGCTGGTGCAGTGTGGAAGCAACTGGCACATGGGACTGATCTGATGAATCTGGCCCAAGGGTTTGAATTTAGGAGTGTGTTAACCGTCCCGCAGCCTGAGCCGGGACGCGGCCCCCCCCACGGTGCGTTCCTTTCGCGGTCGCTTGCCCTCCTCCGGAGTCGTCCCTGCGGAGAGGGACCGTGAGTGCCACGCCTGCTGCCGGGTGTGTCGCCCCATCTTCAGGGGCATGTGCATGAGCCGCACGTGGATTCCCGCCCGGCTGCCCTCCCCTTCCCCTGGGCTGGGGCATGGACTCGGTGGTCGTGGACGGGAAGCTGTAAGGGTAGGAGGCCCTGTGTGGTGTGCGCTCTTCTGGTTCTGATCGGAGCACGTTGGGTGTTTGTGAAGCTGACTGTCTCCCCCCGAATGCACCGTAGAGGCTCTGGGGTCAAAGGACAAATAAAGGGGAATTCTCCCGACATTTTATTATGACAGTCTTCAAACAGAGCAAACGTGAGATGATTTCGTACCGGACATCTGAAGTGTCCACCACCCAGATTCCGCTATCACAAAAGCAAAGATATTCCAAAGTTAAATTGGCCCAAGTCATTGGCTTTGTTTCTGTTCTCTTAATTACTTGATTTTTTTGACATCACCTGTGGTGACTGGAAGGGGCAACGTGGCGTGGAGCAGACCCGCCAGCAGCAGGACCAGCCTGCAGGTCTGTTGGCCCGCCTCGTGCCGACCTGTGCAGGCCAACGGCGGGCCTCTCTTGCCTTCCAGGACCGTGGTGAGGAGATGCACGGCTCTGACCTTCACGGCCTCAGAGGAGAAGCTTTTGGTGGCCGACAAGTCTGGGGACGTGTATTCCTTTTCAGTGTCCGACCCACAGGGATGTGGCAGGCTTGAGCTTGGGCACCTATCGATGTTGCTGGATGTGGTACGTGGGTGGTGGGCCCAGTTAAACCTGCTGCAGCCCGCTGGGGGCAGGGGCAGGGCGTCCGATGGGGGTGGTGAGGCCGGGTCTGTGAGCCCAGCTGTCAGGCTTCGGGCTCTGGAGCAGGGACAGCTCTGCAGATCCGTGGGCGGGGCTTTGTGGGAGCGATGTTCGGCAAGGTGGGGCTGACAGGGTGAATGTCTGGGCCATTTGGGAGGTGGCTTGGTACTTCTGTATGTAAGGGACAGCCGGGTTGGGTGACCAGGTAGAGGAGGCGTGTGGGAGGGCAGTCACCGTCTCAAGGCCCAAGCTTGTCCCCAAGCTTTATGGGCCTCACCCGAGTGTCCTTCCAACCCTGAGCCAGGAGCGGTTTCCCCGAGAGGCCCAGCGAGGCCGCGGGCAGCCGGTGAGAGGTGGAGCTGGGGTGGGACCCAATGAGAGGCAGGGACAATGACAAGAGGGGTTCTTGAAGGAAAGCCCTCAGGACTCGGTGACTGGCTGGCCATGGGGACACTTGAAGGAGGAAGGAGAGGGAGGGTGCTGGAGGCCGGGGGGTGCGGCAGGAGCAGGGAGGGTCCGCACGAGTTGGGCATCTGGATGCCACCGTGGCACAATGTAGAGCTGGGGACAGGTTCCAGGGGTCGGGGTGGGCAGGCCAGCTGTGGCTTCCCTCACCGGCAGGTCTGTTCTTTCTGACCCCGTGTGCAGGCTGTGAGTCCTGACGACCGCTATGTCCTCACCGCCGACCGGGACGAGAAGATCCGGGTCAGTTGGGCCGCGGCGCCGCACAGCATCGAGTCCTTCTGCCTCGGGCATGCCGAGTGAGTCCCCTTCCTGCCCCCCAGGATGAAGCTCGGGCTTGGAGTGCAGGTGGGCCGCTCGGCTTGGGCACCGGTGGTGGAGCCGGGACCACCTGCCCCTTGGCCAGGGCCTCGCAGGAGACGGACAGCCGGGCATGTGCAGCACTGCCCGGTGAGGCCCCGTTCGGGGCGGGGTTCCACCTGGAGCCGTCAGGACCCCTGCCGCATCCTTCCCTTCCCTTCCCGTGTGTTTCGGGGAGAGGTTTCCTTGTTGGCACCGAGGTCTCGGAGCCCAGGGCGTGGTCGCCACACACGGTGGTAGTGGCGCTGCCCATGGGAGCCAGCGTAGCCCGCGGTGTGAGAGGCCTTCACTCCGAGCCCGCTGCCTCCCGCCCTAAGCACTCACCAGTGGTCCCATGTTGGCCTCCAGCCAAGGGCTTGTTTCCAGAACGCTCCTTCCTTGGTGTAGACATCTGTCACCTCTCTTGGTGGCGGGCAGCCAGGAGAGGGGTGCGTGCTGGGGGGAAACATACTTCGATAATTTGAGTGGTCTGGGACTTATCATCGCCTCTGAGTCTGGGCGGTTGTCCGTCCTTTATGACCTCTTCTGGCGAGTGGGAGCTGTTCCGTAATTGAATTTTGACATCTTGCAGGGAAGCATTTCTGAGGAACACTGCTGTTCTCGGGCACGAGCCTAATTACAGCGTGTGGACGGGGGAACCCTTTGTTTTGTTTGCTGAAGCGTTTAACGTTTAATTACTGGAGGCAGGGGAACACGTTGGAGAGACTTAATTTAATTCTGAGATTGCTTCTGATTCTTTGGATTTGAATGGAATGTAAGGTGACCTCTGCGAAGGTCGCTGGTGGCCTGGTTTGTAGCTCCTTACGGCGGATGTGGGCGTTGATTCATCTGTCCAGTAACCCAGCACCCAGACTTAGGCCCTGTGAGCCTCATGGGCCTTCCATGAGGTGACTCACGGGCTCTGGAATGGCCGTCCCTGCGTCAGGGGAGTCCTTGGGCCAGCTGGTTGCGGGCCTTACCTGGAGCTGGAGAGAAGCAGGGAAGGTTGTCCCTGCGGGGCTAGAGGCTGGCTCACAGCCGGCAGACTCTGGGGGGCTTCTGGGGTCCGCTGGGTGCGGGGCTGCCCCGGGGTAAAGGACAGGAGGTCTGAGTCTGTCCACGGGCCAGTGTCGCTGCTCGTCCTCCGTCCCTGCTCCGTCCTGCTCGTCTGTCCCCGAGGCTCCCTGCCGTCACGGACCTTCAGGGAAGGTTTCCGGTGTGAGCAGGGCCGCTGGAGTGAGCACAGATGCTCCGGGATCTTTCCACCAGCGTGGCAGGGGCCCACTCCTGCTTGTCACGTCATGGCTGTTGGGGCCTGGAGAATGACACGGCGTGGTCCTTGCGCTCGCTCGGTGCTGTCTAGCTACACGTGGGAGTCGTGGCCGTTTTTGTGGGGGGTCGGGTTTAGGAGGGGGCGGCTTCTTGACCGGTGGGCCGAGCAGAGGCCACAGCAGCGGCCTGGAGCCGGGCTCCCTCTTCGCCTCTCTCTCCGCTGTAGGTTCGTGAGCCGCATCCTCGTGGCGCCCGACCACCCCGAGCTGCTGTTGTCCTCCTCCGGGGTAAGTGTTTCACTCTGCTGTGTGCGCCTGCGGGCGCCTTGCAGCAGGGGAGCCGTGCGGTGGCACCGGCCCGCCCGCCACGAACTCTTCTGGTCCCCGCTCGGGTGCTTTCACTCGGCGGCTGGCCACTAGATGGGGCCTGTTCTCCGAGTTTTGGAGCCGACTGCGGCTGGCTCCTCCTCAGGGCTTGCCGTGGAGGGCGCGCGCGTGTGTGACACACACACTGCAGTGGGGTGTGAGGACTGTGTTCTCAGAGCTGTCACATCCGTACCAGCATCATGAGCTCTGTTCCGGCAGTAGCTGGGAAGACCCCTTCTGCGTCCCGGGGACCTGGCTTCCGTGCCGTTCTTCAGCCTGGCCCTCGGGCAGGGCCCCTGGCCTTGGTGGGGCTCTGATTGGTAGCGAAAACCTACGTGTCCCGGCAGTGGGGACAGTGGTTCAGTGATCGGAGACTCGGGCCTCAGGACTAATCTGTAAAACGATCATTAAGCAGCAGCTCTCGCCGAAGCGAAGGTTTTGAGTTACCGATGGTGTCTCATTCTTTGATCCAGCTCTGTCCTGTCCCTCCTCTTGTTTTTCCTGCCCTTTCCCATTTTATGGGACTCAGGTGCCTGGCAGGGGGGGCGGCGGGGTGCACGGAAGGCCCCCGGACCTCCTGAGAGTTGGGGTTTCTGGGTGGGCGCTGCGGCCTCCCTGGCCCGCTGCAGGCGGCCGGCCACCACGTGTCTGTGCTTTGCTCCCTCTCCACGCCTATGTTACCGCAGCGTCTGCCGTCCCGTATGTGGTCCGGCGACAGCAGACCGGAGAGTGCGTGTGGCTGGGGCCCCCAGAGGCGGCAGGTTTTATGGATTTTGCTGTACCTACGCCTTGAAGCTTTTTTTACGATTAAGAAAATATTTAAGCGCCCAGGAAAGTAGAACAGACACCTTTGACTTTGGCACCAGTTTGGCCGGCTTGGGCATTTTGCTTGTGATCCTGTTTGAGGATGCAGCAGGGCTGGTGCTCAGGCCGCGGCGGGGCGGGGGTGTGCTGCCCGCCGTGTGCCCGCACCCGCAGAGCGCACTGTTTGTTTCCGGTGGAAGCACCTGTACCTGGCAAGTGGAATTCTGCCATTCGGCCGGCAGTGGAATATGGCCGTGGCGCCCCTGCAAGGTGTGCCCATGGGCCCCGCAGCCTTGTAACGGCCCTGCGTACCCAGAGAGCAGTGGAGAAACAGGAGCACGTGTTTCCCGCGAGCTCTCCCGCCGTCTCCGTGGTGGGGACGCCGTCTTGCCCATCGTCCTTTTCTTTCCTGGTGGGCTGCACCTCCCCTGTTCCTGTTGATCCTCTCTGTGTCTGTCTGTCCTGCTGTGTCGGGAGCAGTGCCTCTGAAGGGGGAGGGACGGTGCATCGTGAGGCTGCTGTCCTGGGTCCCAGAAGTGCCCCTAACCCGCAGCCCTCGAGCCCGAGGTGAGAGCTCCTGCCAGCGGTTGGGTGGCTTCTCCGGCTGCTGTCTGTGCTCTGCTGGCTCCGTACTTGGGCTTGAGCGTCTGCGGCCGTTCCGAGTGGGTTCTTGCTGCGGGATCTGTTTCTCCTTCTCTGGATGTTTTTGGGGCCCTCTCGCCCCGTGCTCTGAAGTTGGGGATGGTGGGGGCCAGGCTCTGCACACTGGCTCGCTCGGTCAGTGGCCCCTGCGGTTCAGGGTCCTTGGTCCCAGGAGTGTCGTCACTGAGCACTTCTCCCCCAGTCTGTCTTGTGGGATGTTGGGCTACGTTGGTTGCCTGGTTTGTTTTCTTTCCCTTGGCCTCTCTTGTGCTCTGCTCTGCTTCTGGGACTTCTCCTCAGCTCTGTTTTGCCGTGTCCTGTGGGGATTCCATTTTGCTGTTCCTGGTAACCGTCAGGAGCCTTTTCTTGTCCTCAAAGTGTCCTCCTCTTATAGTGCTATGGTCGTTGGTCCCGACTGCAGGACCTTTGCTCTCCCCGAGCTCGCATGTGTGTTTCCTTCCCCCGTGTGCTGTCCGCCTTGTGTGGTGGAGGTTTCCTACAGATGTCTGGTGGTCGCGTCTGTCCACGTCTGATGGGGACAGGGCACTGGTCGGCATGGTGGAGACTGCATCCAGGGGCCCGCGGTGTTGGAGCCAGGCACCCATGGGCCATCTAGGTCAGCCCTTTTCTGGTGGTTACTTGGCCCAGTCTTCGCCTTTCTGGGCATCAGGCGTGTCCCTGTGCTCCGGGACGTGACTGGGGAGGGCTGGTGGGTCCCTCGGCATGGATCTGGCGTTCCTGAGATGGTGGTCTCTCGCTCCCTGGTTCCTGGTGGTGAGCCTGTAGCTCTGCCGGCCGCAGGGGTGGGGAGTCCGGGCGCTCTGACTGCTCCCCCACTGGGTGGCCGTGCTGCTGAGGGCCTGCTGGGCCCAGTGTGCTGTGTTGTGGCCTCCTGCAGCCAGTGCCTGCCTTCTTCTGCTCCCAGGCGGCCTCATGATTGCCTGTCTCATCACTCTTCTGTCTTCGAGTCTTTGTGGTTTGGGAGCGCACTTTCCCGTCCCTGCAGAGGGACGTCGGGGCAGGCGTGCTTGTCTGCCGCTCCCCTTCCCGGTGTACTCGCGCTCCCGCCCGACCCCACATGCCCAGCTCGGCCGCTCTGGGGGACTCGCTGTTCTTCCTTTTCTTCCGGGCGTGTGGGAACTCTGTGCGCGCGGTGCCGTCTCCCTGGTTTGCTCGGAATCTGGGCTTCAGGTGCACGTGGGCTTGTGCACACCTGTGGTCTGCGATGGGCTCTGGTGCACGGGGTGGGGGCCCCGGGGTACTGACCAAGTGGCTGAGCCGCTAGGCTCCGCCTCCTTCCCGGTGTGTCCTGATTGGGCCCGCGGCCTGTCCTGGTGAGATCTGTGACGAGCCGTTGTTTTTTTTTTGTTGTTGTTGTTTTTTTAATATTTTATTTATTTATTTGACAGAGAGAGACAGATCACAAGTAGCAGAGAGGCAGAGAGAGGCAGGGGAAGGTAGGCTCCCCGCTGAGCAGACAGCCCCATGTGGGGCTCGATCCCAGGACTCTGGGATCATGACCGGAGCCCAAGGCAGGCGCTTAACCGACTGAGCCACCCAGGCGCCCCCGAGCCATTGTTAACACAAGTGCTCTCCAGCGTTCTTGCCTGTTTTTGGAGCAGTAAGGCTTTCCGCACACATGCCTGTTTCCTCGTCTTCCCCAGCGGACAGGCTCACAGGTTTCTACTCGCTCCCGAACGGGGATGTGGGGCAGCTGTCCTGCTCAGCAGCCTTGCCCACGTGTCTCCTGTGCGAATGCCTGACCCTTGAAGCATCCGTGTGTGTGTGTGTGGGGGGCACGCGTGTATCTTCCTGGCGCGAGTACAGCGGCTGCGGTCTTTGACGTTCTGCGTGTGACCAGCAGCTTGTCTCATGTGTCTTGCCCCTGCTGTCGCGCAGGGGCTCGTGCATTCTGCGGATGATTGGCGCGGCTGCACAGTCGTCCCTCGCGGCAGAGCGTGTGACCTGGGTGCCGTGGGGCGGTAACCCGGCCCCTGTCGGGAGCCCCCATCCTTGCAGGCAGTCCTGCCCCTCCGTGCACAGGCTGACCTGTCCGTGTTGTGTGCAGGACTGCACCCTGAGGCTCTGGGAGTACCGAAGTGGCCGAGAGCTGCACTGCTGTCACCTGACCAGCCTGCGGGAACCGGAGGAGCCGTGGGGTGACAAGGTAACATCCCGCTTCTGGCTCGGGGTGATCGCGGCTTGTAGGGCACCTCTCCGGTCCCTGGGGTCTTGGGAACAAGCCCACGTTTGTGTTGGAGACGTTTCCTTGCTGTCCACACAGACGCCTTCCAGCTTGGGAGAGATCGTGGACTTCAGATTCTGAAGGTGCCCTGTCCCGTAAGGGGAAAGTAACTTTGATCTCCCCTTACTGCATGTGAACGAGCCCGGTACAGAAGCGTCTCCGCCGGTCCTGCTCGGAAATGGGAAAGACCGTGGTGCCTGAGCAGGGAGCCTTTCAGGGAGCTGAGCACCCTTCCCACGTCTGTCCCTCCTTGTCTGCCGTGGATTAACCTCATGACCGCCCCTCATCCCCAGGACCCCACACTGGCCAGTGTATCCCTGAGTCAGGTCTCCTGGGGCTTTGATGGTGAGAGATCTTTGGGGGAGAATGGGCTGCCTTTTGGGGTGCTCTGCATTCTGTCGTCATGGACACCCTGCTCTCTGGTGCTCCTGGGCTGGTGCCCTGCACACCTGAGGTCCAGTCTGGTCACCAGGGGGTGACCCTACCCATTTTCCTAGAGGCCTCTCTCGGCCTGGCGGAGAGGGAGCATTCCACATCCGTGGCTCTCCAGGCCCGCCGAGCCGGCCGTCGTGGTTTCTTGATGACCAGGGTCCTGGTTGTCGTCAGGGACTTTTGCCCTCTTGTCTGGAGCCCCCGTGTGGCCCCCTGCCAGCCCGCAGGAGGCTTGGCCAGAGTTGAGGGGCTCGTCTGCCTCATTCTCGGGTTGGCTGCTTTCTTTCTGTTCCCGAGACTGCTCTGCAGCCGCCGCCCTCACTTGGCCTCAGAAGTGGGCAGGCCAGGCCTGACTGCGGGCCAGAGCCTCGAGGACCCTGGGCCTGTGGCCACCCAGCCAAGTGGCGTCTGGGTCCCCAGGTCAGCGGACCCTGCTGCTCTGGCTGCCCGCTCATGGAGCCTCCTGCTTGGGTGTCTGTGGCCCTGGTGCCTGCCCCCCCCCCCCCGCGCCACCTCCCACCCATGGCGCAAGGACGCCTGATTTGTTCTAGTAACTTTTTCACCCTCATGGTCTCAGTTAAGCTCTTGGTGGGCTCGGGTGGTGAGGTTGACTTTAGTCTCTTTAAAAGGCGGGGGCGAGTGTGCGGCAGAGAGGACCACGAACCCGCAGGTTTCTGACCTCGGGCCCGGGACACGTGGCCTGCATGAGCTGTGGATGGCCCCGTCTCTTGGCCTTCTCACTTCCTTCCTGGGAGCCCCTGGGGCATGGCTCGTGCCCCTCCGACTGGGCTTGGTGAACACCAGGTCTCTACTCCCACTTCTCCAGGGTGTGTGGACCTTGCACATGCGATTGTCTTGTTAATGGTCCCCTGGGTTCAGTGTCCTCTCCTGTCCTTGACCAGTTGGCTTCGGAGACGTTGAGGGAAGGCCAGAGCTACAGAAAGAGAGGCCTCTGCTGTTCGCCGTGGCACACTGCAGTTGTGAAACGGGGTGGCTGCTGAGCCTTTCTTCTGCTGATTTCCAGAAAGTTCCTGGACTATTTCATTATTTTCCTTCCTTGATCGTAGTGGCACCTGTCAAGCTCTTGCTGGGTCTGATCTCAGTGTGAACAGAACAGTCCTGATTCAGGTCCCTGATGGGTGACCATGTGGTCACGTTGCTCCTTTCCTTGCAGAGGTCCGCGGCGTCCAGGATCGCGTACTGGGGCCAGGAGAGCTGCGTGGCGCTGCTGTGTGACTGGTGGGTGCACTCGGCGCGCAGATGGCCTTGCTCTGGGGGCCCACACGCCTGCCGTAGGAGGGAACATGCGGGTCGCTCCTGTGGCCCCGTGGGCCGTCTCCTTCATGGGGAGGCTTCACATACTTGTTCATATAGCCTGTCCCCGCAGTGTTTTACTCCGGGAGGATGGCCATTGCCAGGTGGAGGTGGGTTCCTTTCCTTAGCGTGGAGTGGCGTGCTGTGACTTGCTGTTTAAATTCACTGGCCGCCAGCTGGGCTTGGTGGGTGATAAAGTCCCACCTTCGTCAGCTCCACCCGAGGGCTGCTCACAGTGGGACCCGCGCTAGGGCTCCCGGTGCCGCAGAGGAGGATTTTGGGAGCACGTGCCCCTCCCAGCCCCCCATGGCGGGTTCTGGAGCATTGCTCCTGTGCTGGGTAGGGACCCTGTGTTTCTACACAGCTCGTTTGTCCTCACAGCAAGCCTATAGTGGGCATCTTTGTTTTAAAACAAGGCTGCAGGGGCGCCTGGATGGCTCAGGGGGTTAAGCCTCTGCCTTCGGCTCAGGTCATGCTCCCAGGGCCCTAGGATCGAGCCCCGCATTGGGCTCTCTGCTTGGCAGGGAACTTGCTTCCTTCTCTTTCTGCCTGCCTCTCTGCTTACTTGTGATTTTTGTCTGTTAAATAAATAAATAAATGGAATAAATAAAACAGGGCTGCAGGTTAGCGCCAGGTGGGGCCTGGGCCCAGCGTCCCGTGCCGCCGGCTGCTGCAGGTGGGACGGCCCCTTCCCCATGACCTGTTCCTTTGTTCTGCACTGGCTCCCCGTCACAGCAGGACCAGCTAACCCTGAGCTCCCTGACTTAGACTTCTGTGACCCCTCAGTTCCTGGGGCTCGTGGGCTGGGAAGCGGCTCGGCTGAGTGTTTCTGGACGAGTCTCTCATGAGTTTTGAGTCAAGATGCTGGCGGTGGGTGGAGGCTGGGTCTTGTGATCTGGGCACCGTGCTGAGCTGCTGTCCGTTGTCCCGTCGTACCCACACGGGCCCCGTCATAGCTCTAATCGTTTTTCTCTCTTTGCGGAAAGCATTCCCGTGGTCTACATCTTCCAGCTCGACGCCCGCAGACAGCAGCTGGCGTACAGACAGCAGCTGGCTTTCCAGCACAGAGTGTGGGACGTTGCTTTCGAGGAGGGCCAGGGACTGTGGGTCCTGCAAGACTGCCGGGAAGCCCCCCTTGTGCTCTGCAAGCCCGTGGAAGGCCGGTGGCAGGTGAGACGCGTTGGGCCCCTGCCGCCTGTATGGCTGAGGTGGGGGTGCGCCAGCTGTGTCCGCCTCCAGCTTGATCGTGTCTTGGTGCTGGGGGCTGCATCCTTGTGGTGGCCGGAGGACTCGTGACGGGGGTTCGGGGAGCAGGGGTGGCTGGCCAGCTCATCTGGTGTCATGGAGCCTGTGGTGTTTCTTTGTGGGGTAGTCGCCCTCGTGGGCGTAGTTTTTTCTTGTGCTTGTCCCGGTCACGTGTCTTTTTAGCGGAGAAGTCAGTAGTTGCTCGGATTTGGCTGTAGGTCCTTGATGTTGGCAGGCTTAGGATGGCCTTGTATCTGGGGCACAAGGAGCAGAGAAAGGCGTGTGGGCCGTGGGCTGAGTGAGCCTCTCCTCCCCAGGACACATGTGAGCCTTACCCCTTCTCTGAGCTGGCTCGCCCGTCTGTAACGCTGGGCTGTCTGCTGCCTGTGCGGGGTCTCCTAGGACACTGCGGAGAGGGATCCGGGAACGCCCGCCAGAGCGCTGTGCAGACGGTCCCTCCTTTACCAGCGCTTGCTTGACTGAGGCTTTGGAGATGCCTCTGAACCCTTTGGGTATTTTCATCTAAAAAGTAGTGGCAAACAAAATGCCACTAGCCGGCGTGTGTTGCCTGCCAGGCTCCTCAGACAAGGTCACGAGTGACGAGTGAGGGTGTGGGACGCTGGCAGCCCATACATCGTGGGTCTGTGTCGTGACGCCATGTGGTGACTGCTGTGTCTGTTGTGCCAGCACGGCTGGCCGGCTTTGCCTGGTGCTCCCGAGGGCCCAGCTGCCTCGACCATGGCCGGCAGGTCTGTGCCTCTGCGCGCTGCACTGGGGCGGCAGTCCTGCGTCTTTCCGGTAAATGTTTTCCGTTTGTCTTCTCAGGCTGTTCCCGAAAACGCCGCCTTAAAGAAGGTCTCTGCCCATCTTCAGGGGAACTGGGCCATGTTGGAAGGTGAGCACGTGGGCATGGCCTGCTTTTCGGGATGATGTCCAGAATTGGCCGTGGACGGGGCCAGCTTACAGAATAGCATATGCAGCAGGAACCACCTCCGTGGGTGCTAGTCCAGGATGTGTGGCATGCGCCCATGTCCCTGTCCAGAAGGCCAGCGGCTGGTTGGGGCACCGAGGAGCTGACCCGTGTCCGGGCAGTCTGCGTCAGGATGATTGAGCTGCATGGGGACCGGGGTCAGGGTTGGAGTGCCACCCACCTCTCTGCCTTCAGGGAGAGGGCCCTGGGAGGGGCCGGTACTTGGTGGGCCTCTGGACGGAGTGGCAGGGCAGCTCACGGGCTCTGACTCTTGGCTCTGAGCAGCCACAGCATGTGGTTCCTAGCCACAAAGTCAGGTGTGGGGACCATCGGTGGACTGCACGTGGGTGTCTAGGGCCCAGGGCAGGTCCCAGTAGGAACACCAGGCCGAGGGAAGAGGAGAGATTGTGGTGAGAAGGCGAGTCCCCTTCCTTGTGGGACCATAGTCCACGAGGAGAGTGGCCGGGCGATCGGAGCCACGTGTCCTGGTCAGCAGAAGGGCCCGTGATGAGCAGCGCCTGCTGCTCTCCCGTAGTCCTGCCTGAGACTGCAGAACGGTGAGGCCTCGCTCTGTTTCTGTTTTTTTCTTAAGAGATTGTATTTATTGGAGCGTGTGGGTGAGTAAGCGCATAGAGCATGAGCGGGGAGGCAGAGGGAGAGGGAGAAGCAGGCTCCCCTCTGAGCAGGGAGCCCGGCTCGGGGCTCAAGCCCAGGACCCCAGGACCATGACCCGGGCCGAGGGCAGATGCCCAGCCAGCTGAGGCACCAGGCGCCCTGACTTCCCTCCATTCGTTTTCATAGAGGAAGGGGAACCTGTAGTTACAAGCCTCCAGAGACCTAGCAACGTTTTTTTTTAATTTTTAAGAGTTTATATATTTATTTGACAGAGACGCAGCAAGACAGGGAACACTAGCAGAGGGAGTGGGAGAGGGAGAAGCAGGCCTCCTGCCGAGCAGGGAGCCCCGCGCGCGGGCTTGATCCCAGAATCCTGGGATCTGAAGGCAGGTGCTCAGTGACTGAGCCCCCCAGATGCCCCCGGTGATGCTTTTCTTGGGCAGAGACCTGAAGCGACTGTCAGAAGGATGACTGGCCGCCCAGCATTGGGAGCCAGACGCTTTCATTTGAGGAAAGGAATTACTGCCTAGAAGACATCTTTCAAATTACTCCCCAGGGAGAAGGCAGAGTTCTCCGAACTCGAGAGATGCAGACGTAAATTCCGTTTCTGTTGACAAGTAGCAGTGATCGAAATGTCTCGTGGAAGGCATTCTCGTGTGATTTGTTGGTTCTGGGTCCCAGGGTAGCTTCCATCCCTGCTTTTAGGGTGAAAGTCCCAGGGCAGTGTGACAGGGCTGCGTCCTCCCCAGCCTGGTGCACATTTGCTTGTCGAGTGGACCTGTGTTAGGACTGTGTGGGGGACACGAGTGAGCCTGCTTCCCCGGGCACGTGCCGCCCTCCCTGCTGGGGCCTGGGGCCAGTGCGTCCTGCTGTGGTTTACCCGGTGGGGCCGGCCCGGTGGCAGGTTTCACTCCCCTGAGCTTCTGCAGGTAGAGCCGCCCATCCGCCGTGCAGGGGTGGGGGAGGGTGTGAGGGGAGAGAGCCCGGGTAAGGCAGGCTGGCTGGGCCTGAAAGTCACAGGAAGGGCGGGGACGGCGGAGTGAGCGGGGAGGTCACTGTGCAGGGTACAAGCATGGACATTGCTGACGGTCCCTGTGGAGTTTGTGGCCAGGGTGACGTCCACCCCGTGGGGCTGGTCTGTGGTCTTTATGCCCCCAAAGCTCGATACTTTGATCAGTCCACACCTGTTATGTTGCCGTGCGGTGAGTAACCAGCACTCGGTGGGTGAAAACACCACTTTCTGTCTCGTGGCGTGTGTGCGTCCTGAGGCTTGGTGGTCCTGGTGCCTGCCCGTGAGGACCACGTCCCCGGGGGTAGGATCCGATGTCGGGCACCCGAGTGGAGGTTGGCGGTGTCCTGGTCCCTCGCTGGCTGCTGGCTGGAGGCCACCCTCAGTCCCCAGTTCAGGGGCCCCCGTGGGGCAGCTGACGGCATGGTGGCAGCCCTCGTGCCTCGTCTCCCAGCAGTGACCTGGCTTTTGAGTTCAGCTGGTGTGGCCGCCAGGAGACGGGCCCCGTGGGGGTGCCTTGGAGCAGGCGCTGCCAGTCCGTGCCGAGCCCCGGCTCAGTCCCACTGTGGCGGGGCCTCGCCGGCACAGTTCTCCCTGTCCCACCTGCCGTCTGTTCTCGTTCATCCCACACAGGCTTGGCTGGTGTAGACGCAGGCTTCAGTGGTCTCTACAAGGCCACCTTTGACAACGTGACCGCCTACCTGAGGAAGAAGGAGGAGAGGCTGCAGAAGCGGCGGCAGAACCCACCCCCGGGGCCCAATGGGCAGGCCAAGAAGATGAAGCCGGAGGAGGCGTCCCTGAGGTGCTCGTCCTAGCCGCCCCGGCTTGGCACGCCCCTTCCCTGCCGGCGGCTCCTCTAGGAAGCGAAGGGGCGACGTCGTTCCCGACCCACGCTAGGTGACAGTCCGCTCTGCACCAGCTTGGCACACATGGGCCATCCTGAACTGGTGGGTGTCCTGGGCTCTAGAATGTTCTGCCACTGTGCAGAGGCTCCCCTGCCGGGAGTCTCGGGCACCCCTGGCTGAAGGGAGGCTGTGCCGCGGTGACCCCGCCGGAGAGGCTACAAGCAGCGCCGGTGCCCCGCAGCGCTGGTGCTTCCTGTCAGAGGCGCTCGGAGCCGCAGCGCGGCAGTGGCGATGTGGCGCTCTTCCCGGGACGCCGGACACGTTTGCCTCTGGGGGGTCCACGCGTCAGATGTGTTCGCGGTAGCGCGATGGACAGTCTGCCCCCGTGTCTCCCTCTCGACGGTGCCCGCGCTGCCCGGCACAGGGGCCGCTGGCCTCGCTGGAGGACCCCGGCCCTCCGTCGGCACCTGTGTTGTGTCCCTGCGTGGTGCCCGCTCAGGGCGCGCAGCTGCCGCTGTGTCGCGGGCTCGCTGGGAACACGGCACGGACTCGGCTGCTCTCAGGCTGCGTGAGGACCCGGGAGCCCTGGCAGGAACTGTTCTCCAGGGGAGCGGTGGAGGCTGGCACGCGTGTGTGTGATTCCCCGTGAGCTCTGCGCACGCGACACGCAGACCGGGGGTGTCTGCTGATTCTAATCACCGATCAACGAAGATGAGCTTTTTGCAGCTTCTGGAAACGTGCAGCAGCCACATGGGGAACTGATTTCCAAATACACTGAGCACGACCACTTTTGATGCGTGTACAGTTTGTGACTGAAGCGCTGGCCCCCGACAAAGCGTTTTTGGGTGGTTGGGCTCTGGGGACGCGGCTGCTGCTTTGCGTACCGAGCTTTTAGCCACTTCCCAGGGCTTGCTCTCAGATACGGGAGAACCGTATGTGTCCGCGGGGGCTCTGGGGAGGGGCTTTGGAGATACTAGAAGCAGGTGGTTCTGTGCGCTGACGCCGGGACCGTGCTGCGTGTGAGCGGCTCGGGGTCCCTTCCCACGAGGGCAGCACTGTTCAAGGGGCAGAGGGCTCGAGCCTGGGACGGGCCGGGGGGGGCCGGGGTCCTCCTGGAGGAACCTGGTTAGCGCTGCGCTGGGGTGCCGGCACTGTTCTCCCTGACGGTCTGCTTTGGGATTCTGGGTTTTAGGAGAAATATGCCGCTGCCTGCTTTTGTAGGACCTGTGAGCTCAGAATGGCTTTTACGTTTCTATGTGGTTGAAAACAAGAAAAATAGTATTTCACGGCGTGTGAAAATCATATGCAATTCAAGTTCCAGCTTCCTTAAATAACATTTTACTGGGACACAGCCGGCCCGCTCGTTAGGTCTCCGTCTGTGTTGGCTCCAGCAGCAGAGCGGCCCGGTTGCACAGACGCCACACGGCCCGCAGAGTCCGAGTATTTATGATCTAGCTCTCACGGACGACGTTGTCGACGCTTCTTTAAAATCCCTTTTAAATCTGTGTAGTTTTAAAGCGAACTGGTTCATTTTTTAAGAAATGGAACAAATCCTATTCTGTGTTCGTGTTGACATTCTTTCTCACTAAACATTTATCGCGCTCCCTGTGGGCAGGTGCCTTGGAAACAGGGTCAGGTTGGGAGGGGTCGCCAGGCCAGAGCTGGAGGGTGTGTGACACAGGTCCCCGGCACCTGACGGGGAGACTCCGATGTGCCTGCCTGTCTGAGGCCGTGTTGGGCAGCCGGTCAGGATCAGGATGGAGCTGGGGGACCGCGGCCGTTACCGTCTGTCCCGTGGTTGCTTTCAAAATGCTTTGATTTTTGTCATGGTCACACGTGCACGTGACCGAGACCAAACTCCTGGCCAGCTGATTGGGACGGAGACCTGCTCTGTGTCCTTCTCCCCCAACCCCATTCCTTCTCCCAGCTGCTGCTTTCAGCTAATTTCTCGTGTTCAACTTGCTGCAGCCCATGTCCTCTGCGAGCCCCAGCGCTGCTGACAGCAGTGATCGTGCCAGCCGATGGGTCGCACTCCGTTGGCGCGCACGGGTGTCTCTGTCCCCCGTCTGTCCCAGCACACGCGGACTCGGGCTCAGGCCGCAGAGGGGGGCGGAAGGAGGCAGCACGGGGCCCCTTCTGCTGCAGCAGCGTCCCCGGGGGCTGCACCCATTTGGGGCAGACGTGGTCTCCTGGTCCCAAAACCCTGCCGACGCCTCTGGAACGAAGCCCTCCTTAAGGTGAGGGAGCCGTGTTCCTGGGAACCCTGCTGGTAGCTAACTAGTCCGTACCTGGGGACCCCCAGCTGCCGCAGACGTTTCTCGGTCAGTCTGAGCTGCCCCCGTGATGGCCGCCTGCGGTGTTGGGGGGTGTCTGTGGTTCCGCCTGCGGGCCTGCTGTGGGGGCCGGGGACCGAGGACTGAGGACTGAGCTTCTGCACACACTTCTTTAACTGTGCTTACCTCCCATTTTCCATTCTTTCTTAGTTTTTGTGTGTTTTACATTTTGGGGAGATTCCTTGGGTTTGTTCCAATTCATTTAGTTTAAAAGATTTTATTTTTAAGTGATGTCTGTGCTCAGCGTGGGGCTTGAACTTGAAACTCTGCGATCAAGAGTCGCACGGTCCACCGACCGAGCCAGCCAGCGCCCCCAGCTCGTTTACGGATTTAAAAAGTCTGGTCGTCATGGGGCGCTTGGGTGGCTCCCTCCGTTGGTTAAGCCTCTGACTCTTGATTTTGGCTCCTGTCATGATCTCCGCGGCCAAGAGAGCGAGCCCCGTGGTGGGCTCTGTGCTCAGCGTCGAGTCTGTTTGGGATTCTCTCCCCCGTGTCCCTGGCCCCTGGGACCGCCGGCGCACGCACGCTTGCTCTCTTCCTCTAGAATAAATGATTAAAAGCTTTTAAAGAAAATTGGGTCGTCGTGTTTGTTAATGCTCAGCACTTTGTGGTCCGTGTGCCTTCTGATTTGGCTCCAGCCAGAGGTTCCCATAGAACGCGCCCCAGACGGTCCCCAGCTGAACGCACGCGTGTGCCGGGCCCACCACACACAGCCGAGGGCCGCCCCCGACCCAGGCCGGGCCAGCACACAGCTTGCCTTACCTTGCTTCAGGGGTCCTGGCTCAGCCCTTCTGGTGACCGTGCCCTGCCCCGTGGCATCGGGTTATGGGTGGTTCGCGCGATCCCTGCTGCGCATTGTTCCCCAGCGGCGCGTCCGTTCTGCCTGCGCGGTTTTGAATAGCGTCCAGATTCTGGCTGCGATGAACGTCCTGGTCCTTGTCGCCGGGAACCCACGTGAGCGCCTGGGGTGGGTGTGTGCGCAGGACCCCTCGGCTCGCAGTTCAGCGCGTGTTTGGCCTCGACGGTCCCTGCCTGGCCTTGCTGCTTACCCCGCCCCCACCCCACGGACTGTCCGATTCCGTGTGTTCTCAGCCCTCAGCGTTGCGGTTGTGGCGGTGTTCGGTTTGGCAGAGGCACCGGCTCGGGCGTTACGGCCCAGGTGTGGGAGCCGGCGATGCCGCTGCCTCGTGTCCAGACTTGAACTTGATCTTGGTCTCGGCGAGGGCACCTCCTAGAAACGCTGGGCTCCCGCGCTCCGGGGCTGCCAGCCACAGGCGACAAGGACACTCGAGCCGCCCGTGAGGAGGCCGATGGGTCCACGGAGTCAAGGCCTCTCGCCGGCAGCCGGCCCGCCCGGTGGCCCGAGTGGTTCCAGAGGCGCCGCGCCCTGATGCTGCTCGATGCTGCCGCGGTTCCGGTGACACGGTCGCCCGAGCCCTCTGCGTGCTGACTCGTACTTTCCTAACTTCCCTTGTGATTTCTTGGCTCCATTGGTCATTTGGAAGTGTCCTTTTGTCGTCGGAGGTTGGATTTTTCTGATCTCTTGTTGCGGATTTCTTGCTGTAATTCCGCTGTGGTCTCGGTGTACTTGGATTTCGTGCCCTTTACAGCCGTTGAGCCCCCGGTGCCGTACGGCCGCTGGTTCTCGCTCGCTGCATGACGAGAGCGCGTGTCCGTGGTGTCGCCGGAGGGCCGGCGCTCCGGTGGCGTGGCTGCGCCCGGCTGCTGGTGGCCTTGGCTGTCCGCTGGAAGAGCCCTGGCCTCGCTTCTGTGTTCTGTCGCTTACTGAAATCCGTCATTCAGTGTGGGTGTGTCGGGTTTTCTGTGTCCTGGGCTTCGCCTGATATGTTTAAAAATTCTGACATTCGTGCCTCCTCACCGAGGACTGTGGCTTCGTCTTACTGGGTGACCCCGTCCCGTTTATGAGACGTCCCTTTCCGTCCCTGGGGTGTCTCGTCCTCAGGTGCGGAGACCGATGCTCACACGGACGCTGCCCGTTTCCTCAGCGAGTGTTGTCGGCACCTCTTCCCTCAGATGTGCGGGTTTATATTTCAGGTGGGTTTGTTGGGGCGCCTGGCGGCTCAGCCGGTTAAGCGTGTGACTTCCGCTCAGGTCATGATCCCAGGGTGCTGGATCGAGCCCCGCGTCGGGCTCCCTGCTCAGAAGTCTGCTTCCCCCTCTCCCTCCCCTCCTCCCTGCTCATGCTCTCTTTCTCTGTCTTGCTCACACACGCTTTTCAGAATAAATAAATAAAATCCTTAAAAAAAAATAAAGTGGATTTGTTGCAGACAGTGTTTTTATGTGCAAAATACTGGATTTGAGCGCAAATATGACTTGAGCCACGTAAGTAATTTAGAAATTTCCAGTAGTCACCCTGAAAAGTTTCTAAAAAACAGGTGAAATTAATTTTGAGAATACGGTTTATTTCACCGAGCACAGCAAAAATACCTCAGCATAGGCTCTGTGTGGTTACTCCTGAACTACCTTATTTTCTGTTTTTAATCCTCCTTGTTGGCCGTCTCGTGTGTATGTCACGGTCCAGCGCTCCTCCAGCCGTGGTGAGCCGCGTCCCCATGCTGGGTGGTGCCCGCATGGCTGGTGTGTTCCAAGGGGACGTGGGCCGTTGATGTCCAGTTAACCTTCACTGCTGTGGGGACGGCTGTCATCTTGTCACCTGGTGTCCCCTTGTCCCGTGCGTTTTGACCCCTTTCCTCTTT